AAGCTATTAGACCCCAAAATAATTGTTATTTATTTATTTATTTCTTGTTCGCATTTATCAGCACTCCACATTGGTTTGTCTTTCCCAGTTCCAAACATTCTAAAGAGTAAAGTGTTTCAACGCATATTAAGCCATTACCCTCGTTTACACAAAAAAGAAAAAAAATATACAAAAAATATACACAACTGCAGAGTCAGCGCAGTATATAATACAGCAAACCAAAAAAAAGGAAATATATATAAATATATATATATAATATAAATATAATAAATAGAAGAGAATATATTTTTTTTTTTATCATCATACAATCATTTGGCATAGGAGTTATGGAGTATCTCACTCACCACGCTACTCTGTAATTTCTGCTCCGCTATCCAACTGCCGTTAATTCCAAAAGATGCCGCACTCTTCTGCAGTTCACGCCTTAACTTCTCAATATCTTCCTGCTGCTTTACAATGATGCGATTATACTCACCGTGCATTTCTCCCAATGCGTTATTGCCAGTCAGAATATCATTTTGTACAATATTGTCTTTATCATTAATATGATTCTGTAACTGTGTGAGTGTATCCCGCTGGTGTTGTATCTGAGAAAGCAGATAACTTGCTTCATCTTGCAGAGACGCGAATTCTCTTCTATCACTACCACCATTATCATTATCACTATCACTATCATTGTTATTGTTATCGATATGGTTCTTTTTTTTCTTTTTCTTTTCCTTTTTCTTCTTCTCTTGTTTACTCTTATCATCCTTGGAGAGATCACTGTCATCATTTATACCATCCTTTATATGTTGTATTTTAACTTCCAATGCCTCTAGATGAGCAGCTGTTTGTAATAATTCACTTCGCCACTCTCCCATCTCCTCTTCACACACTGGCATGAGGGAATCTCCCGTCTTGAGAGACTTCAGTTCATAATTTACCGTAAAGTACACATTTGATTCCTCTTCAAACATCTTCAGTCGCTTTTCTTCACTTTCTTGCAGCAGCGATTGCAGTTCGGCTGCCTGTCTTCTCTGCTGTTCCACTTGTTCCTCCTCCAGTGCCAATTGTTCAGGTGAAATAGAAAGAATACGTTTTTTCGTCGCCTCATTCAACTCAAGATAAGTTACACCAAAGTGAAGTCGTAACTCTTCACGAACAATCTCCCGTGCCATCATTCGATCCTGTACAGTAGTAGAAGAGGAAAAAGAAGAAATAACATCTGGTAAAGATAAGAGTAGACGATCCACAGTGTTATCAATAAAGTTAGCTATACCCCGTTGAACGAGAAAAAGAGCATATTGGGACTCAAAGTCTGATATATTGTAGGTCTGCAGAACATCTTCAAAAGAAGGAAATGTAAAGTGAGGCATCTCTTCATATAACTGGGCCAAGGTGGAAGTTAATGCTACCGGTATACTTTTTATATTTCTCTCCTCTTTCTTCTCTACCTTTATTGTTTCATTTTTCTTATTATTATCATTATTCTTTCCTTCTCGAAGATTACTCATTTCATTATATCCCTCTTTTTCCTTCTCTGTGTTGAATTGTGGTATCGATATAGGTCCTATAGGACTGTTGGGATTCAACAAAGGAGGAATGATAATACGCTCGCCAGTACTCAACAATCTCCTCTTTTCATATTTGGCAACATCACGCATATACATTACATCACGTGGACGTGAAGAAATAAGAAGTCGTTTCAATGGCGCCACTACACGAAGATTACCAAGACGTCCTTGTTGTGGTTCTTCTCGTATTTGCCCAGTAAAATTAAATGGATCAACAAAGGCAGAGGCGTCTAGTTGTTGTGGTAACGGTTTCTCTGATTTCTGCAGAGAAAGATTCCCACTCTTTAGATCTACAAACATCGTAATAATACGTAACATTTGCAGTGCTACTGGTGCATTTCGGCAATGAAAACGCAATATGTATGCGAATAGAGGAAAAGTTCCGGGACTAAATTCACTTAATCCATCTCTACTATTATTACTATTTATTACATGACTCTTTTTATCGTGACTATTACTCTCTCTAAACTCATGTACGTGTGTTAGAAGTAATGGGTTTCGACAGCAAATATACATTTCCTGTGTTCCAGTTCTTGTGTCCGGTTCAGATTGGATAACAATTTCAACCAAAGGACCCTTGTTTTCTACCGCAGTACCAACCATAGTAACATCAGTATTATCATTATTATTATTATTGTTATTAATATCAGTAGTAGTAATAGAGGAAGAGGAGGAAGAAAGCCGTGCGGCGTTAATAATGCGTCCGTCTTCCGTGCTAAACAAATAGATCTGCCCGCGCTGACCCACCAGAAGAGCACAAGAAACCCAACCACCATTGTTGTCATTATTATTATTATTATTATTATTATTATTATTATTATTATGAGAAGCCTCACGCGTTGAGAGAGAGTAAACCTCCAGACGTGTGGCGAAACAGGGTTGAAGAGCATATGCTGTGTTCTTATCCACCTGCAGCAACTGCATGATAGCTGGGCTTAACGGTATGATTTTGGGAATCATTTCATATGCCATTCTAAGTGTTTTTTTTTTTTTTTGAAATGATAATAACGTAGACAAATAAATAGATAAATAAATAAATAAAGAAGAATATAGCGCATAGACTCAAAGAAGAAAAAAAAAAAAATAAATAAAAATAGGCATAAACGAACCAAACACATATAAATAAGAGTAGATTGAAAAAGTAAAAAATAAAAAAGGAACTTAATAAAAGGCATGATACAAATAAAGTTTACGTTTAGAAAATAATAATAATAATACAAAAAAGAAAGAAAGGAATTAATAACTCTGTCATAAAATCAAATCAAACAAACCTTTTCGATAGAGGACTCGCTCCTTCCCATTCGTTTCCATTCCACCTTGCTTATAGTCACTTAAGGAAGGTAATATATGTTGTTTCTCTCTACTTTCCAAACGCTTCTGAAGTTCATAGCGTTCTTCTTTAAATATGGTAATACTCTCTTCCACTTCCTTTTCCAATTGCTTCATCTTATCATGCCATTTCTGAAGCATATTCATTTCTTGTTGTTGTTCCAATATAATCGCCTGATATTGTTGTTGTACTTGTGCAGCTACGTTAGAAACATTAATCTCGCGCCAAGAGAGAGAACGCTGCACTTCATCCCTCACCGATTTTACTTCCATTTGCAATCGATACAAAACATGTCGAAGATGTTGTATTTGTTTACGTGTCATACACTCTGGAGATGTCTTTAACGCCATTTCCTCCCCACTACTTAACAGCAGAGGTGATAAATTATTATTAGAAACGGGAAGTGTTACGAAATCATTTAATTGACGTTCCCTTTCACAATGGGTGTAATATTCTTCTAAGAGTTGTTGATATTCCACTCGTCGTTCTCGTTCCTTTGCCTGCAGTACTTTCACTTGTTGTTGATATACAGCCCTTCGTTGAGACCGGTGCTCATCATCATACTGTGCGGATAATCGTTTTTGTTGTTGTTCCATCTCTACTTTATGCCTTTGCTCTTGTGCTTGACGGTAAAGAAGAAGACGTTCCAGTACTTTTCCATCAATGACACTAGATTGACGTTCTCTTGCCTGTTGTAGAGCTAATGTGTAGGCCTTTTCAAAGTTATCTTGTAGGAATAGGCGAAACTTCTTCTTTAGATCCAACATCTCCTCTGATGTAAAGTGGGCTATCCGTACGGTTTCCTCTCTTGTTGGTTTCCCATTCTCTATCTCCATAGGGGATTGTACGGTTTTGGCCTCCATCTCACGGTTTACGCAAAGCGTTGGATGGTTATTTGTATTTCCAACAGCATCAACATCAGAAGAAGAAGAAGAGTATAGTGGTTTCTCTTCATGTGGTTTAAAAGAGACGATGTGGGCTACACTGTGCAGTTCCGTTATATTTTCATTCTCATCATCATTCTTCTCTCTACTCTCCTTATCACTATACGATGGTACCGTAATGCCGAGTAGAGGATTCCGCGGCATCCTCCCTTGATAGATATATAGGCCACAGTAAAGCCCACTTTAGACAACCCAAAAATAATAATAACAGAAAAGAGTAAAGGGGTATAAATATAAATATATATGAAGAGAAAAGAAAAAAAAATATGGGAAGAGTGGGAAGTGTTAATAAAAGAAAACCAAAACAGAAACGACAACTAACAAGAACAACCATAAAGAAATAGGAGAAATTAGCTTTAACGGAGTGTGATCCGAAAATTGTCCCATTTTCTTCTGTCCTGGCACTTGCACACATACCCCATTGCGTGACGTATGCATAGAAAAAGAAAGAAAAAAAAGTCGAAAATAAATAATAAAAAAAAAAATCCCCTGAGCAGTTAATACTGAGCACACAAACTATCAACCTACACACACACGCACATCGATATAATAGTCATCACGAGAAAAAAAAAAAACCCCTATCCCCCACACACACAAAATAGAAAGAAATAGAGGACACACATATAGCCAGGATGCAGTCATTTTAACTTTTTTCTAAGTAAATCAATTAATACATAAAATAACAAGATTCGGTCGTGCAGTAAAAATGCAGATCACATTTTTACATACACACATATATATATACGTAGATAAAAACAAGAAGAACAAAAAAAAAAAAAAAAAAAAAAAAACAGGAAAGAAAAGATATTAATATATGTGCATATGCATCTATATATATATATCTCTCTGTCTGTATCTGTCTCTTTTTGTTTATCTACACATTTAAGGTCGGTTCTTTAAGCAAATCGCTTGTAGACTTCGCATAATAAGTTGTTCACCCGCATTTGGCTTTTGCTGCAGTTCTTCGATGGGGTTTTCCATAAATGCAAGATGACCACCAGTGGGCATTTCCACATACACGACATTCGCATTGGAATCCACCACAGCCTCCCAGCGTCGTGTGTGTAGTGGTCCACCGCAGAGCGGGTCATTAGATGTGGCGACGCACATCACCGGAATAGTAGCGGCATGTAATGCACTATAAACGTCTGCGGCACGATGGAATTTCTCCGGCAATTTTGCGGACCTCGCATTTGCGTGTTCATCATTATCGTCATTATTGTGAGACCTTCTCCTCTTGTTATTATTATTATTATCATCCTGTGGCATAATCTCAACTTGTTTCTGTTTATAGGTTAGTGTTTGCTCATCTCCACAGGCACTGTTCTGGTGCTTGCGTATGCGGTGGAGATATCTATGCACGGCGTTACTATCAAACGGCACCAACATGGCGATGGCTGCAGTTAAATAAGTCCCTTCATTGCGTTTTCCCTGTTCTCCAATGTACTTGCAGAGAGTAACTCCACCCAGTGCGAATCCAACAGCGATGAGAGGCCGTACATGTGTCGTCTTCATTCGCTGTTGCAGTTGTGTTGGTGTTAACACAGTCTTGAGAACATATCGCAGATCTTCGGTTTGCACATCACTGAGTAATTGTGTATACAGCGGTATATCTTCTTTGTTATCACGTGCGTTTAACACAACCACATAATGTCCACTCTGACTCAACTGCATCGCCAATCGTTGAACATGTACAGCCTGAGATGAGGAATTAACCCCTGGAAGAATTAACACAAGCGCCTTTCCAATCGCATCCTTCCCATTTGTGGGGGATAAACAATCCATCTGCAGTAGACATTTGCCATCCGCTGCTGGTAGTGTCTCACGTATGTAGGGAACATTTAACCATGGACGTGGGGAGGCCAATATTGTCTGCACCCATCCCATATACATTGGCTCCTCATAGTACAAACATGATGGCAGTCCAAAGAAATCAGACGCGGCTGGTATTTTGCAATTCTTAATAATTACAATGCGCCGCTCTTTGCGTGGCGCGAGTGTCATTTCCTTCTCACCAATTATCCACTCGAGTGCACTGATGGGCCAACGAAAGAAGACATTGAAGATAGTCGCCGGTAGAATATAAAAGGCAACATGCACGAGATTGTGCAGAGCAAAAAAAGCAACGCGGTTCATAAACAAATAAGAAAAAAAAAAAAAAACTCACGAGACAATTTCTATATATATTTTTTTTTCTACTAAACTTTTACTTTCAAATTTCTACAAGGTAATAATAAAGAAACAAGAAGAAAGAAGGGATAAAAATAGAGAAAAATAAATGTGGGGACCCAAATGAAAGGAAAAAGAATAATAATAATAATAACAATAATAATAAAGGACAAATAGCGGAAACAACATAGACAGAAGTAAAGTTGAACCTTTTACTTCCATCATTCTTTCCGTACTTCTCATTCTCTGCCGTCTTAGTATGATGAACAGCAAAGAAGAGAAAAAAAAAATATTCAGTCGAGTAATCAGTTTTACAGCGAAATAAGGCAAACGGTGATCAAAGAGTAAAAAAAATAGAAGAGGTGAGAAAGAGAGAACATAACCACTATCAGGAAGCAGGTACATAGATGTACTAGTATGTCCTGATGTCTCCCCACCTCCTCTCTCTCTGTGTGTGTGTGTGTGCGCAGGTGTATACAGAACCTTCTTTCTTTTTCGACATCTTGTGCCTTCCTCTCTATTCACACAATCTCTTACTTTTCGTCTTCGGTTTTTTTTTTTTTTTTTTAATGGCGATGCAATCAAAAAAAAAAAAAGAAAAAAGTACTTCCTGCGCAGTCCACCTCACACAAAATACACAACCAGAAAAACGGAGGGAAAGTGGAAAGCAATGATTCCCTGTTGTTATACCCTCCTTATCCTCTTACTATTGATTTACAACCTTCTATCTCCATTTTTCTCTTGGGTATTTTTCTACCCCCTTTTTTTTTTGTTTCTTTTTGTCGTATCTGTTTTTTTTTTTCTTTTCTTTTTTGATTTCTCTCTCCTTCACTCATTTATTATTTTTTTTTGCATTTTTTTTTTTTTCTTTTTATTGAACTCATCCATTCATTCGTTTCATCTTCAACTGCACACACACACACACGAGGAATAAAAACCTTGACCCGCTTCTTTTTTCTCCATTCACACCCTTTTCCTCTTTACTATTCGCTTGCATCTCATGCCATTTGTTTTGATTTTCTTACGTTTCTTTTTTTTCTTTTGTTTTTTTTTCTTGTAATACTTTACTCCTACTTCTCGCACAAACAACAACAACCACACTATCTTCTCACAACACCCTAACACCACACAAGACAAACAAACAAAAACAAAAAAAAAAGAACACACACAAAAAAAAAATCATCATCACCACCACCACCACCGCCGCCATCACTGTTGACATGTCAGCTCTTCTTCCTTTTCTTTTTTTTTTGGTTTAAACTGCTTCATCGAATTTATTCAGCTCTGTTTCTTTTTTTTTATTTTTATTTTTTTTCCTCCCCTTCGCTACTATCCTCTTCACAGAGACACAGATAAATGCTTGCCCACCCTTAACCTAATTCCATGGAGCTGTTGTGAAGTTGAGGGAGAGACCATTGTCGAGTTGCTGTGGGGTGGTCCCCATACCATTAGAGGGACCAGGCAAACCAAAGAGCGATGCAGTACTCTGTATTGGACCTGTACTGAACACCCCATGTGAGGAGGTAACAGAAGTAGTAGAAGCAGCCGTAGTGGTAGAAGCAGGAACAGGTGTAGAGACGGATGTATATCGCGGCTTCTCAGGGAATACACCGCTGCCAACGATAGGGCTCTGGCCAGACATTCCTGCCATTGGGGATGTGATGGTGGCGGGTGATCGCGGCACAACAGAGGCAACTCCTGCAGTAGCGGTGTAGTTGGAGTGTGAAGCTGTACTGCTGCTGGTTTGACCTCCTACCATTGAGGTTGGAGTAAAAGGTCGAGCGTTGGCATCCAATGTGAAACGTGCTATCGCGTTAGCGGTAGTAAATGGAGCAGTTACAGTGAATCCAGAACTCTGTCCTACAGAAGATCCTCCTCCCATGATATCCATACCAGAAATATGTGCCGAATCTGTTTGCAATAACGGTAATTGTGTAGAAAAGGCTGTAGATAGACTATCATATCTACCGACAGTGTTCATGTTATTATTTCCCCGAATACCAGTAAAACCAGACGAGTCAGTGAGCGGAGCCCAAGATGTCAGATCAGCACCGATTACTCCATCCGTAGAAGATGGTAGTAACGATGATGAAAAAGTTCCACCATTGCTCACTGCTGCAGAACGTGGTAACGGAATAGAGGGTCCACTGCCGTTACTACCAGTAGTAGCAAGAGCCATAGGGCTCATCCCAGGTGCAGCGGTTGGTAGGATTTGTGGTGAACATTGCGGAGAAGAACGTGTGGGGGTTATTGCAGACCCAAAATCGCGTGAGTTAATACCATTTGTACAAGGAGGAGCCCAGAAAGATTGTAAATCATTAATAGCTAATGTCTCATGACGCATAGTAGAAAGTTCTGGAATACTTAACGCTGGTGTCCATTCCTGTTTTCGTCGTTTAGCTTCTTCACGTTCTTTAGCCTTAGCCAAATGGTTAGCCGTTTCTGCCTCAACGTTAGAAAGTACCTCATTTCTACTCTTTAGTAATTGTTCTAATCGTTCAAGTTCGAGGTTACCTTCTTCAATTTGTACCTGTAATCGTTCAATGTTTTCTTCCTCTTTTACTTTTTCCTTTGTTAATTTGGCAACTTGAGCGCGATTAGTGGTAACAGTCTGGTTTAGCACATCTAATTCTCTTTGTAATTCAGGGTTAGGCCCAACTTTTGCAAGAAGCAACTTGCGTTCACGTTCTTTCTTTTTTTGTACAGCCTTCTGATACGCCTTACTATGCTCATTCATCAATTGTCGGAAACAATTATTCCAAGCTTGCTCAATGATTTCACGTCCCTGTGTTTCACTCTTTCCTAGTTTAAAAACGACCTTTCCCCATTCTTTTTGACGTTTTTCCTCTTCCAATGCTGCAGCCCGTTCACTATCGTTAGAAGGGTCACCATTCTGGTTGCTACCACGTTTTGTAGACGTAGTTTTTCCGTTTTGATGAGTGCTGTTCGACTGTGTTCTCCCCTTATCCATAAATGGACTACCATCAATATTCATCAATTCCATGGCGTATTGAAATACAAGACGATCTTCAGCACTATTGTACAGACGGTAACCGAACTGAGACATTGTAGAACTGCGTAACGCATCCGGTAACGAGACAAAGTTTTCAAAACCAACAAGTTCACCTGGAGCAGCATCTATTTCACGCTCCAAATACAAAGCTGATGTCTCTTTGAGGGAAATTTCTTGAATCTGTGGAGAATCTTTATTATTATTATTATTATTATTATTATTAATATTGCTATTACTTTTCCTCTTTTTCTTGGGATCTTGAGTTCGTATAACCATATGTACTTGAAGAGCTTCACTGTGTCGATGCCAAACGCAGAAACTTATCTGTTCGTTCACCACTGTTAAAATCGCGTGCCACCTTATTTTGTTGCAACTAAAACGATTACTTATAAGTCGTTGCAACGTCAATACCTTCATGAGGTTTGCATGATCAATAGTACACGTGTAGCGTCCAGGAGCATGCTCATGAATTTGCATCTCTGGCATAAATTCAAACTTTGTTATGCTTGGTACAGACTGCCTAAGTGGATAAAAATAGTGACTGATTTTCTGTGCCAGTAATAGAGGTAGTTGATTAGGATCAACAGATTCAGTAGCTTTATCATTGGTGGGAATTGAAAGTTCTTGACAGACCTTTTCCAGAAGGGGTGTTGGTAATGGCTGAAAGAATGTTAATACTCCAAGTGCTGAGATAGCCATAAATATCTCCTCAGGGGTACAACTTCGATCCACAAAACCAAATATATTGGCAAAGTGCCTTAAATGATCAGAATTTAGCCTAAAAATATCATGTCTTAATGATAGTAAAACCCTACGCACACGTTCAACTCGTTCATCTTCTCTCTGAGCTACTAACTCTGACATAGTACCGTCTGTTGGGAAGCTGCCCAGTGATCCATTTTGTGGTCTCTTATTACCATTACCATTATTGTTGTTCCCACCACCACCTCCTCCTGGAGATGATGATGTAGATGATGTCTGTGCTTCAAAACGATCTGAGAGAACCGAAACGATTGTGACAGCAAGAAGTCGAAAGTGTTCGGTGATGTTCCCACGATACACTTCATCATCTTCATCTTCGTCAAACTGAATACCCCAACACGTTGCCAGTTCTCGCATTGTTGAAAGGCTTAGTGTATCCATTTTATTAATTTTCTTGAGATAATCAGGGTCCTCACCATAGAATGACCGAACATCAACTTCATCCTCTTCATCTTCTTCAATAACATCAACGGCACCATTGTCACTATCATCACCATAGAGTTTCTCACCGTTGCCAACATCATCACCACCAGCATCTGCTTTTTGTAATACCCAATGCCCATGAGGGTCTATACAGCGTAGCAGTTCCATCATCATTAACGGGTCATCAAGATTTGAAGGGGCATCAGCCAATGAGCGTCTCATTCGCGACATCCTACCAGAGTCATCCTCATCCTCATCATCTCTTTCCATGCCTGTTACAGGCGATCCCCAAGACAACGCCGCGGCAAGTTGTGCCTGCAATCTGCGCTCTGACAGTGGACCCATCGGTAGTGTTACACCGCCATTTAGTGAAGATGAAGAGTTTGTCACCGAAGGATTTGATAAAGCACCACCACTGGCACCATCCGTCTCCTCTGCAGCGTCATCCGAACGATCCAGTGAAAGGCAAACACCACCACTGCATTGTTGCATTAGCTGCACAATTGCCATTCCACTGGAAAAGTCACTGGCCGAATTATCAGCTGTAAACTGTCCATCCACTTTACCGCCACTACCTAAAGCGTCTCGAGGTAAACGGCGTGGTGATTCTGATAGTACTGACTTAGCGTTGCGATTACGACTAGGCGGGGCTATGGTGCTGCCGCTGTTATCATCCATTCCACTAGAGGCAGGGATAGCAAAGGAAGAAGGTGATGTTCCTGCAGTCGATAACGGACTCACACCGTCCTTACGCCTTTTCTTGGTGGGCATCGTGTTGACTCTTTTTTGCTGCATGCGTTCTACAGGGCCTAGTGGAGGTGTAGAGACCAAAGTAGCAGCAGGGGCTGAAGAATTACCACAAGACTCAGAAGCAACATCTGCGCAAATACGGGAGGCACCACATCCACTGGCCCGCAGATGTTGCAGCAAAGCCATAGCATCACGATCATGAATTAGGTCCATACAGTTATCGTCAGTACTGTTGCGGGTACCATTCGCACCCTTCTTCTTTCTCTCAAATGCAGCGAATAGTTCTGGTAATCTCTCCTGCAACACTGTGAGAGTGGGGAAATCAGCCCCTTTGGATGGCTTCCCACCCTGATTTGATCCCTCCATCAAGTTGAGAATACAGATCTCCTATACTGATATATAAATATATATATATATATATATATATATATATATATATTTAAAATATCTGGTCCTGTTCCAACTCCTACTATAACTGTCCCTTCTTTAGCACTAGAGACACGCCTTCCTCAAAGCAGATTAAAACAAAAATCAGAAAGGATTATTGTATATCAGGTCCTCTGTGTACCAGGTTCCTCAGTCCAACGCCTTGAGTTATTTTTTCCTTTATTGTATCCTTTTTTTTTCTACTCGAATATATATTATTTGAAGCGCCTAGACCCTTTTTTCTTGCCACCTTGGTTCGTTCCTTAAACACCAAATATTCTTGTTCTTTCCGTCTGCCTTTTTTTTCTTTATTTTTTTTGTTGTTTATTTGTTTGCCTGTGTTTCACACTCCTAGTTGAGATCTCCTCTCTGTTTCTGCAGATTATATTATATATGTATAATATATATATATATATATATATAATTTCCTTGCAAGGGAGAGAGAGAGAACCTACTTTCCTATCCGTATCAACAACGAACCTTCACGACCATGAAAAAAATCCAAAGAAAAAGCGGAAGGAAGAAAAAAAAAAAGAGAGAGAGAAAGAGAACAATTGTGTAATAAAAAGAACAAGACCCTCACAGAATAAGAAAAAAACATATATATTTACTCGCACTTCACCTGATCACTTCAACTGTCCTTACTCCTACTGCAAGTGCAACTGCTGCTGTAGTCGTTCTGTGCTTGTGCATTTGGGTGTATCCGGGCATTTCTTTCCCTCGAAGGTAAAGGAGGAGGGTGTTTGTCCATACTGCTAGTAGAATTTATGATTATACTGGTGCGATCAGCTTCCCTGAAAATCTTGTCTACATCTCAGTGTCTGTGCTATTTTTTTTTTTTTTTTCTTTCGAAGCAGTCCCATATAAAACTCCACATTACATATGCAAACGCACTCAGAGGACTACAACAGCAGCTGCAGCAAGAGTAGTAGCAATAGCGACAGGGAAGGATACTGATTTGTTCATAACTTCGTAAAGAAGGGGAAAAGACATGTAAAAGAAAAAAAAAAACGAAAAAAAGAAATGGGGGAGAGAAAGAGAGAGAGAGAAAAAAAAAAAAAGCGAAAGAAAAGGCAAGAGAAAAACAAAATAATTAAAAGAGGTAGAATGTGAGAAGGTTTTATAAGAGTTGCACACCTTCAGTGCTACGATTGACTTCGCCCTTCACAGTGTATCGCCTCCTTCCTTTCAATCTTGATTATCCAGTGCGAACACAGGAGTTCGTTGTTTCCTCGTTTTTTTCTTTCCTCATTTCCTTTTATTTATTTGCTTAAGTTAATCTTTTTTCACCTATTCCTTTACCTTGTTTCTTTTTCATTTTTTTTTTTTGTTTGCATACTTCACGTCGGAGCCCGGTAGCGTTTCGAATTAGGGGTGTATCGGTGGAGGGAAAAAAATGAATGAGGATAAAAACAAAATGAATTACCACAAAGGTGCCAAAGGAGTAATACGCGTAGACGTATACGCCTATCCACCCACCCAACCACAAAGGCCCGACAGAAACAAACAAACAGTTAAGAAAAAAAAAATAAAGAAAATGACTTGGAAATCATTCCTTGTCTTTGTTCTTTAGATTTTCATTTTTATTAATCTGCCTGCTGCTCAGATTTTTTTCTTTTTTTTTTTTTTGTGGATGTTGGTCTTGCTCTCTCCTTCTACCTTTTCTTGTACGTCTTTGTAGAAATTCATTTCGCCAAAAGGATGGAGTTTATCCTCTCGTTTCCCTCTTATTTCTTTCTTTATAGCTTATTCGTCCATTTTTTTTTTTCCGGCTCCTCTTTTTTTTTTCTTTTTTTTTCATGTTTGAGTCCTTTTTCATTACACGCCATTTCCCAGGTCATTTTACACATATAGACAAACACTTTCTCCTTCGATCATATTCCTCTCATCATTCCCCTCCCTCTTTCTCAAACCTTCCTGTTTTATCAACGAGGGGGGGGGGGGAGAAGGGAGAATATATATATGTATCGAGAGAGAGTGAGAGAGTACGGGAGAGGACACAAATATATATATTTTAAGAAAGAAACTTGCAATTCCCTTTCCGCTGTTAAGAACAACCCAGTCTTAGGACAACTACATCGGCACTTTCTGAAATAGAAACTAAGAAAAGAATTTCTTTTTTTTTTTTTTCTATTTTGTTGTCCCCGAGAATCCCTTTCAAAAGATTTTTCTCAGCGTTGTGTCCGGTAATTCATCTTCTTTAACCTTCCTATTGCCTTAGACCGTTGTTACTGGTATGGAAACGCTTTGTTCATTCATTTTTTTTTTCCTTTTACGCATCTGTATTTGCAAGTTTTTCTTTGTCATTTTCTTTTAGTGCATATATACGCATGTCTCTCTCCCCCTCTCCCTGTTTGTGTGTACGTGCGTGTGCGACCTTCACACATTCGTTCGCTTACTTCACTCCTTCGCTCTTGCTTCATTTTTCCTGTTTTGTTTTTTTTTTGTGTGTGCTACTCTCTCCGAAATCCACCAAGCTTCACGCCAACAACACTCTCAGACAGATAGAGAAAGCATGCTTGTTTCTTTTTGTCCTAGTGCTACCGCCGATGATGCTTCTCACCACTGGTTGTGGAAATTGTTCGTAGGCATGTACCCCACCTGCGAACGCTGGTTGAACATCGGATTGAGGTTGCCATCGGGCGCAGGTCCACGAACATCAGCGCCATTGTTGTTGCTGCTCATTGGACGACCGTTGAAGTTGTTTTGCACGTGCGGATTTGAGCGCATCGGGTTTCCACGTCCCATGTGTGGGGGAGCCTCGCCTCCTCGGGCACCGAAAGGCTTGTTGCGCGGTTGCTGGTATGGCATATTAGGGTAGAATCTGTTCTGCTCATATGGGGGTGCCACCATACCATGGTTAATGGACCAATGATCGGGACGTGGTGGGGGAGCCCACTGCATATTGTCCTGCATCGCAGGGGAGTATGTGTAACCTGGTGTAGGTTGTGTGCCATGCTGAGAAGTAACGGGAGGAGCTGCAGGTGTGGTGCGTGATGGGGATTGCTGGTGTTGCTGTTGCTGCTGTTGTTGTTGCTGTTGCTGCAACTGCTGACGTTGTTCTTCGAGTTTGTTGCGCTGCTGTTGGAGGCTTTCACTCTGATCCTTCAGTTGTCGCTCAAGAGCGACGAGTCGTGCATGCTTCTCATTAAATTCAATATCACGCTGCTTGCAGTACTCATCATAGTTACGACGGGTATCGTCTAAGTGGCGGCGTTCCTTCTCTAAGTCAGCCATAGCACTTACCATACTCTGATGGTCTGCTGGAGCTTTAAAAGTGGTATGCGGTCCCTTTTGCTGCGCGTCAACAACATCCTGAGGGTACTGAACGAGGTTGGATGGGGCTTCCGGTTGTGCCGGTTCTGCTTGCTGTGGTGCAGGAGCGATATGATTTACAAAGCAGTAGTCATCATCGTTGGCCCAACTAAAGTGTGCATCCGTTTCAGGGAAAGTAACAGGGTGCTGCGGTTGTGGAGGTGGCGTCGGCATCGGCGTCGGCTGCTTCTCCTCTACCACGGGTGTCTGTTCCTCATGGATCTCTTGTGGCTGGGGCACCGTTTCCTCAACGGGGACAACGGCTTCCACCTCTGCAACTACAGTTTCTACGACGGTTTCCTCAACAACAACAACAGGTGCCTCAGGCTCAGAGGCAACCACTGCGGGCTGCGCTACCGGCAGTTCTACAGCGGCGGGGGCTTCGGCAGCCTGACGTTTGGCGGTACCCGAACGGAGAGCATCGAGGAAACTCTTACCTGACGAGGCCTTCGCGGCGTTTGTGATCTGCGCCTTTATGGTTGGTCCTGCGGGGGAGGCGGGCTCCTCTGCCTTGGGCTCTTCCCGGCGTTGTCGGGTGCCCTTGGGGACCGGCTTGTTACTGCCGCTGGCGTTGGCATTGCTGCTGCCACCCTGATGATTTGACGTCGCTGTGCGTGGAGGCATTTTTGGTAGTCCTGTTTTCGCTTCTTTAATTCTTTTCTTTGTTCGTCTTTCTTTGTTTGTTTTCTTTTATTTCGATCTTCAAGGCTTACCGTTTCCTTTTTGTTCCTCCTACGTTCAACTTTGGTTGCTTAGTGTTTTTTTTTTTTTTTTTGTTCTTAAAAGCGTAGCTGTGGCTTCTTAAGAAGAGAGAGCTTCCTTTCTTCAATACGTCAGAAATGAATGAAAAAGTAAATATAATAATAATAATAATAATAATAATAATAATAGTAATAATCATAAAAAGAAAATTACACACATGTTTAAAAGAACAAGGTCTACGTATGTAAGTGTGTATCTGTGAAGGGTTAGTCAAATGCAGGTATACAAAATATGACTTTTATAACTAATGACAAATAGGAACAAAGTGGCACCATTGGCACTACACATATATAACATATAGAGAAACACAACATAACTGCAACATTATTGTACGTGCCTCTGTATGTATAAATGGATGTACAATAAATGCATGTGCGACAGGAACCACATCGCTTTCACTATAACCACTACACACCCCTTTCAGAAAATAAGCACATGTTATGCACATCATTGCAGGTTTTTTTCCTGCATATATATATATATATATATATATATATATATATATATCTTCTCTTCTCGAATTCTTTCTTTCCCTCTTTCTTGTTCTAGTCTCTTCCTTTTTTTGTGTCTGTTTTTTTTTTTTTATTTCTTTTGTCTTCTTTCTTTCTACTTCCTAGAGATATTTTTTTTTCTCTCTTGACGGTTACCAGTCATCCACGGCGAAGCCAAAGTCCCTGTCCCTGCAGCAGTAGTACGGTGCAAGGAGAGACCATATGTACAGCAGGACTGCCATCCACACGGTGGTGCTACGCACCCAGAATGCTACATTGATGCTGCCGAGCATCGTGTCTGTGCCTGCGCCGCTGACATGCCAGCCTGTTGCCAGCATGGCGAGATACATGCTGCCGAGCATCATGGTGGCGTGAAGGAACATATATCGCCCGAGATGGCCGCTCTCGTCCGGGTCCTCCTCGTCCTCGTGGTCGCTGACACTGCCGTCGCCATCTTCGTGGCTGCGGCCGAGGCGGAGGGCGTCGCGGTTGCCCCCGGCGGACACGACGGAGTACCCGAGCGCGGCGCCGCTCACGACACTCGCGAGGATCATCTGCAGAATGGGGGCGGGGCGGCCGGGCGTCTGCGCGAGGCGGTTGCAGTGCGGGTTCGTGTCGGTCCGCAGCGTCACGAACATCATGCTGCTCGTGTAGAGAAACACAATCCCGCTCGGCACAACAGAGCCGTGCGGCACCCACACAGACAGCACCGTGTACACAAGACCACTCACCAGCACACTGCTCAGGGCAAAGGCATTGTAGTTACAATCCGAGTGAGGGACATACATCACAAAGGAAACAACGCTCATAGCGATTCCGCCCAAGTAACTGAGAAGAGCAATAGCTAAAAGATACCACATCCACTTCCCTGAATGCTCAGCCCGTTGTCCCCAATCATCACTCCACTGGTAGCTAAAATCTACCAAAAAGACGACATTTACCAGTAGAAATATAGCAGACGCAAACATACATACATATGCATACACGCTGAAGAAGCTGTTCGGAATCCAAAAGGTTATAATAAACAATAGTACAAGAATAATACTTTTGGCAAAAAAGAAACGCTTTTGGAACTCAGCTCTTGCTTCGCTCTCGATACAACACGTCAGATCAGAAACAGATAACCAGTGGAGTAGGAAAAAAAGCATTAACGCAAAGCTAACACGGTAGACAAGAACTTCCCCTGTACAATAATTAGTGTCACCACTAGCAGCGTATTCGCAACCTTTCTCAAGAATAGAAACGCGACTGAATACTCCCTGGAGAGAGCCTCGCAAAAGCATCGTAACAACAAGGCCAACAAAGAGATAACAGGCATACTGTAATCGGACCAGCACACCAGGCGCAAAGACCGAGTTGCGCTTAGAGGAACTCATACCGTCTTCGTATGCCATGGGACTTCCGTGATGCAGTCAAAAATATTCCTTTTATTCCTCTACCTTTCAATTTTTTTTGTTTTTTTTTTTTTCGCTTATATCTACCTGATCAATTTCTTCACTAAAACAAGATGGAAACACCCGTTCACAGAATGAAAACAAAAACAAAAAAAAAAAAAAAATAAATGAAGAAAACAAGGAAAGAAGAAATAAAAACAAAAAAATAAACAAAGAGTATGAATACTCAGAAATCCTCTTACCATGACAATTCAGAACAAACAAACAACAACAACAACAAAAAAAAAAATGTGCATGTTCCTCTTTTTAGTTAAGGCTCCACTGCTGCATACATCCATGTACCATCATTGTACATTGCGCGTGCCACTCTTTACCAAACAAGAAGAATGATACGAAAAGAAAAAACAAAAAAAAAAAAAAAAAATGCAATAAACCATCCTGTACATATCACACAACACCAATTTCTATCTATTATTTCCTTCTGGATTTGATTTTTTTTTTTTTTTTTTTGTTCTCTTGTAGCTTCTTTTTTTTTTATTTTTACTTTTTTTTTGTTTTCTTTACACCACATTTCTCCATTTCCATCGTTTACACTTGTAATTGTTGCGCGCCTCTACGTGAACCGCGGATCGTCCGTAGCAAGGGAGAACTTTGTGTACCCCATTTCTCCTCCGCCTATACTATGCACCTTGCGTAGTGCGTCTGACTGCATTGGACTCAGTTGCACACCGAGGGACATCAGCGTTGCGAAGAATTGACCCTCCTTTACAAACCCCTTGCGTGCACGGTCGTACTGTCTGAAAGCGGCAAGAGATCCGGTGCGGCGCGCAGCAAGTGTACGGCGTACTTTATCTATCGCCGATGCATACAACTCTTCCTGAGTAGCATCCATTCCCTTCATGCCACTAGACTGTGTGTTACTGAGCGTATACTGTCCCACTGCATCAGGAACCTTAGAAGTAGTATTAGTAGCATTAGTATTAGTAGTTGCTCCCGTCACATTTGCGGTTGCAGTAGCAGCTCCTTTGAATGATCCACGTCTACGTTGCGTCACTGCCATTATACCTTCACCTGCTCTGAGTTTCTCTGTTACAACAGACACAAACGCTGGATAATCAACGTAACCATCCAAATCTCCCTGAGCAAAGGCTAACTCAAGGGCACGTAACTCCTCCTCTGTAAGATCAAGTCCAAGAATGGATAAACAGTGTCGAAATCGAGTGTTCGTCACATGACGATGACGTAATTCGTCACCATCAGGAAAAAATTCTGAAAGTCGTGCATTACGTTCTTGCAAAAAACAACAAATCTTCTTTAGAACTTGTTCTACAAGGTTTTCATCCAACGTTCCCTGCTGTGTGAAAGTACCACTTCCTCCTGTTGTTGACATCATCGTTTGTTGTACAGTACCCGAAACAGAGGGCATAGTGACATTGGCATCCTTTGAAATTCCTACCGCCGATTCATTGAATCCAACATCACGAACGAAACGTGTGTAGTCAATTCGTTCCGTGTCATGAGGTACTGCATAGTAGCGTGTAAGAAGTTTAGTTTCTTCTGGTGACAGTATAAAACGATGACGTGCAAGGGCTTGCATAAAGTTGGTCTTTGTTATTTTACCAAGATGAAAACGGTCAAAGTCTGCAAAGAAGGGAGTTAACAACGCGTGTTGAGCAATAACATAATGTGAAAGTCTGGCAAGGAGTCGATGCAATTGTTCACGCTCTGCTTCAGTAAAGTTGTCTTCATAACTTTTGACAGTATCTTTTGAGGTTGTTATTTTTGATACTCCTGAAACACCATTCGTGTTTTCTGATACTGACAAATTAAATTTTGTTGTAACAGAGGGTACTGCCATTGGTGCAATCTCTCCAAGGTCTGCAACAAATTGGTTAACATCAATGTGATCAGATACTCTGATTGATTTGTATGCCTCCTGAAGCAATTTAAGTTCTTGTGCCTGTAATTCAACTCCAGCGATACCAAGGGCAACGGCAAATTTTTCAGTTTGCACTACACCACTACGCAATGGATCAAAATCAAGAAAGAATTCATTAACACGGAGGTGTCTTTCTTCTGCTTGTGCAGCTATTTTAGAAAGTACATCAGAAACTGTTTCAGCAGGTTGAAGTTGTGTATCTTGTATATGTTGCTGAAGATTTGACATTGCCATAGATCGCATTAAACGGGCTGGGTTTAATTCAGGCTTCTGTACTTGATCAACATCCATCACAAATTGGTAGTAGTTCACTTCATCACTGGGACCTCCTTCTGCATTTCGGATAACATACCGTTTAACAAGAAGTGCAATTTCTTCAGGTTTTAAAAAAATCTTGTTAGTGGCTAATGAACGTTCAAAACGTGACTTGGTACATGTACGATGTTCATAAATACCTTTACGAACACGATCAAAATCATGTAATGTAGGGACCAAATTAATACGGTTTGAACTAATAATAAGTCGTACCTTCTTTAACACTTCTTCTGCACGTTGGTGTTCTGCACTAGCAGTATCTCCAAGAAATTGTCCAGGAGTTCTGGTTGTTTCATAGTAATTAGTTTCTCCCTCTGTGGTATCATCACGACGTGGATTAGTATCAGCAAGAAACTGAACATAATTCACTCGTGGGAAAACTTCATCATTTGTACCACAACCGGTATCATCCCATATACCCTCTGTGTAGGCCCGTATCAGTGTTTCAATATGTTCTGATGTAAGTTGAAAGTTCACAAATTGCACCCTTCCTAGAGCTGACTCAAACTGAGGGGCTGTTACGAAACCTGTTCTGAAATTATCAAAGTCCCGCAAATAATCATCACAGCGAAGGCGATACATTGCGAATTGCTCTCGCAACACCCGTAAAAGTTCATCCAACGTAAGTTTCCCTCCTGTTCCCCGCGCTGAATTAAATGTTGTGGACTGCAACTCGGTGGCGTTGGCATTGACGACGTTAGTAGTAGTAATAGTGGTAGTATTATTATTGTTGTTGCTGTTATCTACATTCTCAAGATCTCTGCACCAGGCGGAGTACAATACATCCCCGTTCCCATCTCCGTACTTCTTAAGAATGAGTTGCAGTATATCTTCCCGCACAGCATCAAATGGGAGACAACGGCGGAAGCGTGAGATTGTCACTTTACCGCTGCGAAAAGTATCAAAGTCTTCAAATGCCTTTCGAACAGGCAGACCACGCACTTGCATAATTTGTCGCAGAAAATGCATCGCAGCATCCAGTTTTTGTTCTTCTTCCTCTGAAAGCGTTTTTGCTTTGCGTCCCAGTGTGGTCAACAACTCCGCCGGAGGATCTTCTGCACGAAGAGCATGCAAGAAATCCATGTAGCGTACATCCATTGTAGTTCCACGTGGGCTATTAGTGGTACTAGCTGTATGGCGTCCCTCAGGAGCAGCAAATGCATTTTTAAGAGCCTCAAATTCAGTTTCTGTGAGTTTAATATCATTTACTGCGAGGGCACGACGAAACTGTTCTGCTGTGATGCGACCAGACCGTAGACTGTCAAAGTCTGTGAAAAAATCATCAAGACGCATACGACGTTGGGCCACGTGCACTCGCACTTTTTGCAGTACATCTTCTACCAAACTCATCCTTGTATAGATAATTAACCTTTTTTTTTTTCTTTCTTTTCTTTTTTTTCCTTGTGTACTTCTTCCTGCTATTGCTTTCTCACCCACCCCCTAGGTCTCTTCAAAGAGTGAAGAGATACGGAAAAAAGAGAAGAAAAAAAATTTCAAATAAAAGAATAATACGACAATATCATTTCTTTTCGATTTGAATTTGGTATTCATCTGTATCTATCTCTTTTTTTTGTTTTGTTTTTCTTAACCTCTCTTTAGTGATCTCCTATTCAGCTCAAACTAGACAATGCAGTCCGTATAAAGAGCACCGCTAGTAATAATAACAGAAACCACGAAGAGAATGACCACCAGCAACACAAAGACATCATCATCATCATCAAGGAGTCGAACATCATTTTTACCTCAGGTACACTACTCACAGAAAAGAAAAAAAAAAAAATGAAAAAAAAAAAAAAAACATGGATACTGATCAATTCTCATTCCTCCCCATTTCCTTTTACATTTCTTGTACTAAATGGCAGCCGTTCGTCAATTGCCGTGATAATTTCACGAGGAAAAAGGAAGCAAGTGAGTAGCAGAGCGGTGGCGGTTCCGTTGCGAAGCGCCTTATATGTCCCCCACGGTGCGCTCTTCACCACGACGAAGACACTCAGTGAAGAGATGCCGGCGGCGGGGAGGATCCACCGGCGGGTGCGGAGCTGTTCGCTGGCGATGGCCGTCTGCTCCGTGACGAAGCGGTCGGCCCGCGCGGTGTAAATCTTCGCAGTGGCGATGTGGCCGGCCACGTCGAAGAAACCGGCGAGGGCGGCGGCGGGCACCCACGCGGCGCGGCGGATGGCGGCGACTCTCCGGCGGAGCGACGGCCACTCGCCTTCCCACACGACAACGGCGCCGCGGTCCTCAAGGCTCATCCAACCTCCACAGGACCTACTAGTCTAGTATGTATATACGCCTCTATATACTTATAGAGATCTCTCCTTCTCTCTCTCTCTCTCTCTCTCTAATATATATAGGTAAAAAGAGAGAGAGAGCGTATAGGGTGGTACGCAAGCAAAGAGAAATAAAAGCAAGAAAATAAAAAGAAACAAAAAACAGATATATATATATATATATATATAGCGGGTTTGGAAAAAACACAAAAAGCAAGACAATAAAAAGTAGTAAATAAATAAACTGGTTGCCACAAACACCAAATTTCAGGCAGAGTACACTATGACAGAAATAATGGCAAATATAACGAAAAATAAAAAAAAAAGGAGAAAATAGAAAGAATTCCCCCCTTAAAATAAGTGATGCCATAAGATATGACTGCAATCACTTAGTAGTCAAACTAGATGGTCGCTGTAATTATCTATGGACAGGTTCTACAACATAAACAAAATGACAGAATCATCATTATTCTTCTTATTCAACTTCTCCAATGCAACAGTAGTGATGTTCACGCATTCAATTTGTTCGCCATACTTACTGCGCCCCCGACTGGATTCTGAGAACCCTCCAGCTGCATAGTGGTAACCTCAAGTGGATGACCAAAGAGGAATCTGGTTCAAGTACACTCTCTTCCTGAATGGAGGATTCGCACTGCAGTTACACAAGTTAAAACCAAAACAACACACACACGGTGCGCCTTTTTTCTTCCAATCTTCCACGTCAAACGATGGATGGGGAAACAGTACCATACACATACACACATAAATGAAAAAAAAAGATCAAACGATTACAATTTGAAAAAATCCAGTATGTAACTGCCAGACTGAAAGGATATAAAAAGAATGTTTATAGTAACCCCCAGCTATTTGAAATGTCACACATGCCTCTTCCCCACTCTAAGAGTGTCAAAACACTATAGATGAGTACAAAGTCCAATCCATTCACGAAGTTTCTCCATTGCTTTAGAAGGACCTTCAACCAAATAATATATATATATATATATATATATAAAGGCAATTGTTATAAAAATAATTTCCAAGTTTCATTACAGAGGCGATAAGCACATCCGTGCATCAGAGTATTCTCCCCTTTCTGAATAAAGAGAAATCTCTCTCTCACTCTCTCTTTCTCTACTACAGAAAGCAATATCTCCCCTTTACTTTACTCATAACAGACTCTTTTCCCCGTTATTAAACAAAAAATGCGTGTTTCAGAAAGAAAATGTAACCTGATAAAACGTAATTCATCCAATCGTTTTTCTCTCAGAAGAAGACTGAGTCCTCGTGGGAGATGGTATACAAATACCAATTTATGGAATGGATTAAAATTCTTCGACGTCAATTACACAAGAAGAGTAATGAACACAACATGGTATATTACCTTCAGAAGAGATGAGATGATATATATATATATATATATATATTCTTCCTCTCATTTATCTTCTTTTTCGTTTTTGTACTCCAGATTATCACCATATCGGTCAATAGCAGATAACACACAAGCTAATCGATTACGTCTCTTTTCTGCTACTTTCAATCGAGATACCTTTTTCGCATTATTACAACTTACTGGATGAGAAACGACTATATTATTTGGTTGTTTATTAAGTATACTCGTGGAACTCACATTCTTCTTTCCTTCCAGTTCAGCATCAGTGGATTTTGATTCATGTACAACAACTTGCGAATTAGTACTATTAGTAGTAATACAATTTTCAGAATCTCCTACAGAAGAAAGATTCTCTCTTCTCAATAAATGATCACCCTTCACATTCACTTCCCCAGATGTGTTAATAAGAGATAGTCTCTCAGAATTACAAACCGCTAAGGATCCAAGTTCTAGTCCACTCCGCAACACAGCAGCAGCAGCAGCAGATACTACTACTTCTACTGCTGCTGCCTTACTCGGTTTAGAAGAAAAACTCTTCGTGGGAACTTCACAAATTTCTGTCATAAAACATTTTAACGTTTCCTTGACGTCATTCGCACGTTTTCGCTTCTTCAAACATTTCGTTGGCGTTCGTAGTGAAGGTATCATATTACTTACCGCTGCAACGTTAGATACCTGAGAATCTACAGATGGTGGTGAGTTATTTACGGTAACACAATTCTCATCTTCAGGCGACATTTCCTGCTTAACAACACAGTGTCGAGGAAGAGCAATAACTCTATCGTCCTGAGAAGTCGGAAGTGATAAACTTTCGCTCTCTGGACGACAATTATTATGTGGTAAGTATTCCTGAGCAGTTGATGCTTTCTTTTCAATAGCCTCTGATATATTTTTTACCCCTTGAAGTGGTACTATATTATTTCCCATAGCTTTAAAATCGACTAGTGACTGTAAATTATGAGGAGGTAGTGTTTCACCTGCGGAAAACTCTGAGACCATAACTGCTGAAGGAGCAAGATTTCCTCTTGTATAACGATTACTCAGAGAATCATGCATATCCGGTGATTCTGTTAGTACCTTTTTCTTCTTTACCAACACTGGAGAAAGATTCAGTACTGTTTCTTCTATTGGATTATCTTGTTGCTCCTGGATAGGAATCTTTTCTGATACACTGTAATTGGAAATACTTAAATTACCTTCAGGTTTCTCTATATTTACACGAGGCATTAGTTCATGTGTGTTGTTTCCCATATCACTTTCCGGTACAACAACCACTGGATCTTTGTTTTTGATAATCACATGACTTTTTTCTTTTTCTTCTTCTTCTTTTTCTTCTTCTATATGTTTAGAGTCATTTGATGTAGTAAGAGGGTCAGGTGTTACGTGTGTGTTCGTAAAACCCCTGGGTGGTGAGGTAAGAGTTTGATTTTCTTTTTTACCACTCTCACTACCATAAATGAGAGAGATGGAAAAGGGTGAAATCTCGCTCTTCTTGTCATTATTGTATTCTTTCCGAATAGAGTGTTGCGAATCATTTGAAGAAACTTCTCTTGGATAGACAGAACTCATAATGTCACTGTTATTTCTATTAGAGGTAGAATCCAATTCATTCTTCAATACAAGACCTTGTTCTAATGAATTTTCGTCTTTTCTTAACCTTTCGTCTCTTTTCACATCCCAGTGGATGTCTTTTGTGCATACAGAGGTCACATATTCACTAGCCATATTAACACAAGAACCCTCCAAACGACGTTGAATCCACCCAGCCTCTTCTCGCACAAAGAGACATCGTACAAATACGTGAAATCGCAATTGCACCTGACTACTAGAAAGTGAATCACCAGCGATTAACTTTGCTCCAGCGCCGAGCTCTAGTGTCAACAATGGTTCATTCCCTGCATTAATATCACAGGGATCAAATATAACTGGTGTGGATACAGCACCAGAGGCTAAACGACGGCCGTTTACAAATGTTCCATTTAAACTACCACAATCACGTACAGTAAGAGCACACCATTCATGTGAAGTGTGTGGAATATGTAATGCGTTACTACTGGAAAGCTGCAATACACAGTGCCGACGAGAAAGTAATGAACCTTGTGCGGCAACCTTGTATGCTATCACACCACTATTTCCTCCCAAAGGATCACGTCCTAATGGTATAATCAAGAAAGCAGGAAGAGAAGATGGTCGGTTACTTTCTTTTCCCTTATTTCCTGACGCAACTATTGTTCCATCTTTTCTACAAAAGAAACGTGCAATTAGACGACAACGTTTGTGTTTATCTACTGATGCATGTCGCACATAAGATGGCATGACTTCCGTTTCTTTTATAAAAGCAGCTGAAGAGCGACCTGGGACTGCAGTAATCCCACCAAAAGCTGATAATCGACTTAAATTGTACACACCAACTATTGCAACTTCCATCAATTCTTCTTTTTTTTTTTTTT